TGTCGGTTTTTAAGTTAATATCGCTGTGGATGTATCGCCGGTAAGATATCTCGTCACAGTGTAATTGCAGAACGTCACCCGAATTCCTCTCCGATAGGCCGGGTCTACTTGTAACGTTTTTTTAAACACTTTTTTAAAGTACATCTTACAAAATCGAATACATGCTAAGCGAGGAGCAACTCAATGGTGTTGTTTCGAATCTCTGCTCAATACTATAGCACATAATCTCGCGTAGAAGACACGACGTTTCTCTCTCTCTCTCTCTCTCTCTCTCTCTCTCTCTCTCTCTCTCTTCCTGAAATATCCGAACGATTAAAGTAACGCATTCCAGCGTAATTTACCAGATACTGGCAGATATGGATGATGATTGGTGCGTGTCTATGCATGTCGGACAGCATTTATACCTGATGACGACGAAAGCGAATATATCGCATTTCTTCTCCAAAACTGTATTCAGCTTCACTACGATTGCTGGGCTGTTTTACCTATTGGGCGATTATGCGCTTCGTTTTCTCCATTTGGCGAAGGATGTCAACGTTTCTTCGCGTCAGTTTCCTCTGAAGGTACAATTCCCGTTTGAGCACGCCAACGAATCACCGACTTATGAGCTGCTCTTTGTAATAGTATTCTTTCATGGTATGTTAAACGGATACTCAATCATCATTCTGAACTTACTGATTCTCAGCATGGTAAGTGTAGCAGATTAATCTCCTTGCTGAAATTATGCAATGAGTTGGTGCATACAAAGCGAGTTTTGGCGTTGGAGATAATAGAAATTCGCGAAATAGTTGAAATTTTATTCTCTTCCTGACTTTCGTCCGAGAGAATTTCTTTTTTTTTTCAATTTACCGCTTGAAATGTATTTGCAGATATTTAAGTATATTTTAGGTACTCCACGCAAGCGGGCAAATCGATATCATATGCCACGAGTTCAAGAATATTTCCGGAGACACTCCGCTTTACGGTTCTTCCGCGTCCAAGATAGGGATGCTGATCGAGAGGCATAACAGAGTAATCATTTTCTCTAACAATATACATAAGATTTCTTCCTTCATAGCGTTAATGCTCGTTATCTGTAATTCTGTGCTGTTTGTTTACCTGGGGTTTCTCATCGTGATAGTGAGTACTTTTGTATTCGCATGAATGGCGAGTGATGGTCAGTAACGTCATTTATTTGGTTTCCACATTTCATATTTAATAAAATAGTCGGTGCACGGTGAAGCCGGCATCATGTTATTGGTGAAAGCTGTTTTTGCTGGCGGCGTCTTAATGGTGGAAATTTTTGTTTTCTGTTTTGCCGGAGAATATCTTAGTCATAAGGTCAGTAAATATTAAGCAACCATCAATTTCGGATACTGAGGAATCAATTTCTCATTATTTAAAATATGATTATCGCGTAATTAATTATTGGAAATTTTAATTTTTGACATTTTCTAAATTGTGTTGATTATATTAAACAGAAAAATTTGGATTTTCAAACAAAGATGCAAAATAAATGTGGTAGAGTGTGAAATTTGATTGTTATGCTGTAAGTAATATCTTTTATTATTTCCAGAGTAAGTCAATCGCCGAAGCAGCCTACGATTCGTTATGGTATGATATGTCGCCGAATTATGGTAAAATGGTGTCGTTCGTGATAATGAGATCCCAAAAGCAAGTGACGTTCACAGCAGGAGGACTCACGAATTTATCTTTGGAAACTTTCGCGAATGTAAGCTTGTCGCTATCAGAACCTTTCTTCGATATCGGCTATTTAATATTTCATATTACACGTATATATATACATGCGTGTCTGTGTGTGTTTTGAATTGTTTCATTTTATTTTAGATCATAAAAACATCGGCATCGTATACATCTGTCATGCTGGCAATGTATTGATACCAGTCCAAGTAGTGCTCAATGATGCCATTTTGGTTATAACATAATTAGAACATAAGGGGATAATTTATAAATTGAAGTCATACATGAAACTATTAATTATCTATAAAATATTTTTTGTTGTTATAACGTGACTTTCAAGACCAACAAGTTTTGCAGAAAACCTCGAATTATATTTGATATAAATTCGAATACCATGCCTTCCCTTCGCTCCGCCACACCAACGTACTTGTTAAAATATTGTTAAACTATTGTTATTCGTAAAAGGTACGTGATATCAGGCTACACAATCAATTTTACAATTTTCCCGGGAATTCTGCGCATGTACTGTTACCAAGGAATCTTTGTTTGTCTGCACATATAACTAAGCTTCTGCGAAGAGTCTAATCGATTAAAATTTTTTTTGCTTTTGAGGCTCCTGCCACATGTGCATCCCAGAGATCGTAGTTCTCTCATAGAAATTCATTCATTAAAATTACTAGCTATTATTCGCTAATCGCCGCTGGCCAAAGGAGACACGTTGTGTGTTCTCCCTTCATTAACCTTTTTTTTTCAAGTCTCGTGGTCACGCTTATCAGTTCCGTTCTATTGGAATAATTAATGCAGAATTATGGTCATTCAACCGAGTAACCGTATGGTCAAATGGTCTGCGATATACATAGATAACACAAAGATCATTTGTTTTTCATCGGCGGCATCACGTTGTCTTGGAGGAAAATTCGCAAAAACCAAAAGAGAAAAACCTGACCGCCGCACGAAGAGACATACGACGAGACGACGTAACTTTTTTTTCTCGATGCGTGGTCGGAAAGTATTATTAAGAATGTCGGCGGAATTAGAGGACGTCTACGCGGATAATGAGCTGTATCTCTACTACGTTACAAACGCAACGTAAAAAGACAATTGATCGACAGTCACGGGAGTGGGGGCGTAGCACGTGAGGGATGCACCTGGAGGATCGATCGGTGTTCTCTCAGTTCATTGCATACGAGAGTGTCGTGCATGCATGTGTCGCAAAATACTGAGATGAATTGACTCACAGTTCAAAATATTAGAATAAAAAGATTAATGCAGCTCAGTTTGCCATTTAACATATTTTACAAAACTTGCTTTTGCATAAATTCTAGTTGTCTAGAATTCAATACGGGAATACAATATTTTAATGACGACCAGTCAAGAAATCTATAAGGTAAAAGTATCAATGCCTGGTACATGTTGAATATTCTTGTTATTTCGATCTTTAAATACGAATGTTTAATCTTTAATATATATATTGAATGTATGTTTAATCTTTAATATATATATTGAAAGTATGAATATTCGTATTTAAAGACCAAAACAATGTGCAGAATTAAGTACTTGTCCTGGTATTGGTTCTACTTTATAATTCTACTTCTACTTTATAATTCAATAATCAATTAACATTCATGGGTATTATTATGTCGCGCTATCTTTCTCTCCTTTTTAATCGAAATATATTCAAATACGTATTTTCTTTTTTAAACATAATATTTGAAATCTTTGCAGATACTTAGGTATATTTTAGGTACTTCACGTAAGCGGACAAATTGATATCATATATCGAGAGTTGCAAAGTATTTCAGAGAAAACATCTTATTATGGATCTTCAGCATCTGCAACAGGAATACTGGTCGAGAAACACAATCAAGTAATCTTATTTTCCGAGAACATTGAAAAAGGTTTTTTCCTCATAGCTTTGTTGCAAATTCTTTTGAATACATTAGTTATTTGCTTCCAAGGACTCATATTTATATCAGTAAGTATTGCAGGATCTTAGTAATGAAAATCGTAATTTATTCAGTGTTCCTAATCGTTTGATGAAACAGTCTTTCCATGATGAAAATAACGTCAGGATGGTGAGAATCACATTTGCTTACATCTGCGTAATGATGGAAATTTTTATATATTGTTTTGCGGGAGAGTACCTTAGTCATAAGGTTAGTGAATATTTCGAAATCATTAAGTGTAATTAATTTTGTAATATACTTTAATTTGGTTATCTATTATTAGTCATGATAGTTCGATCGTTTAAAACAATATCCAATCAAAAGTGGTTCAAAAATTTGTATTTTCCGTAATATAAACGTATATCTCTAAGAGTACGCTATTTTTAAGTTAATCTTTTCGTTGTAAGTTTTTCTTTCTTTATATGTTTCGCTTAAGAAGAACTATAATAATTATGAATCCGTGATATGTATTGTTACTTTCTATTGTCATATAAACATT